GACCTCTTTCTGACATTACGTAAATAGATACCTCCTTTTGGATTTTGTATCCAGAATGAAAACGGGTATTATTTACATAGGACAGGCCTGTTTGTAGAGCATTTCTCCTGTTTTCACTGCTTGACTTCTTTGTATCTTTTCCTCTGGTTATCCCATCCTATCATTTGTAATGGGAAGAATTTGGCAGCATGTATAACAGATTTGTCAGGATGAGTTTGTTTGAGTTTTTAGTAAATAGTCCATAGTATTTTTTTTTCTTTTTGCTATTTATTTTTTGTGTAATTCTAATCAGCCTCAGAGCTAACTGGAGATTCTTTCCTGGTTTATTGGTTTTATTTTATATTTTCTCTCCCCACCCCCATCTTTGCTTTTGCAGCTCTAATTGCCTTGCTACTCATGTGTGCATAACTGGAAAGAACATGCATAAAAACCATTCTTAATAATTTATTTTTATCTACTTTTCCTTGTATAGACTGAATTGCAGCATCTCTGCTGAATACTGCGTTGTCTGATTTCCTGTTTGTTTTCTTGCATTTATGATATTAACTGAAGTTGGTTTCAGTATGTTCCAAAAGAATTCTTTTGCCCTTCAGCTTGTGAGCCTGCTCCTTATATTGTGTTCTCATCTATTCTTGTGTTCACCTTGTTTTTTACATATGTCCAATTATATGGCAAAATGTATTGCTTTTGCACTGACAGATGTTATTCTCAAACTCTATTCATATGTCTTGATCATTCCTTCCTAAATGTGGCAAAGAGATCCTATTAATGGAGATAGCAAGAGCATTGACTGAGCAAGTGTCATGGCTATATAGACAACTTGGAATTGCTACGGCTCTGTGGTTAAAAATTTTGATTAACTTTTGATTAACTGCCAAACGAGTTCTAAAAAAAAAGTGTTAATGGTTCTGTTTCCACATTTAATATGTTGCATTCTTTGCTTAGTTCATTATGTTGAGCATTTATTGTGTCTAGTATTTCTCATTGTTCGTATTCTACTTTCTGAAAGTAACTTTTTACTGTCTTTGTTTATTAGGCATTTTGAATATGTTCTCAAAGTAATAGTGGTTTTCTCTGCCTTGCTACTCAAAGTGTGGTCATTGGGCCAGCAGCATTGGCAACATCTGGGAGCTTGTTGGAAATGCAGCCTCAGGCCCCATTTTAGACCTGCTGAATCAAAGTCTGTATTTTTACAAGATTGCAAGGTGGTTCGATGAACATTAAAATTTAACATGCAACACTATAACATATAGATTATTACTATCTCTGTATTTTTGTTTTTGTTTAACAGTTGAATACTTATACTCATTTAGCTACTTTCTTAGAGATAAGACACCCTTCTACGTGAAAGTAATTATAGGAATATCCTTAGGAGATCTTTTCTATTTTTAAAATTATAAGAACAAATTGTAAAATACAAGAGTAAATACTCTTTATTTACTGAAAGAGTAGAAGGTTTTTAGAAGTGGGATTTAAGTGGTTTCCATATCTGCTAAAATTTTCACCAAAAATTGGTAATTTTTAAAAGATTTTTATTGGGGAATTGGGGAAAGGGGAACAGACAAGTTGCTATCCTTTTGTTCTTCAGTCTAGTTGTGGAGGACATTGCTTCACTGGCCCAAGTTGGCACCATCATTGCGCTCTTCCCGGGCTAGGCAGATCAGTTGCCGGCCTCTGGACGGCTGCTCACAGCGGCTGCTGGCTGCTCACGCTGGCTGCTGGCTACACACGGTAACCCATGGCAACCCACTGCAGCAGGGGCTGCAGCCTATGCCGTCGCCGGTGACTCACGGCAGCCCAGCTCCAGGTTGAACTGTTGTTCAGCATGTTAGCTGTAGAGGGCAGTGTCACTGGCCCTCATATGTGGGATCCGAACTGGGGCCCTGCTGCTCAGAGCTGATGTCCCAAGCCAGCTCTTAACCAATGTGCCACTCGGCTGGCCCTTTTATTGTAGATCTTTATGAGAGACCTTGTAAACTCTGTTGTATAGGAAAAATTTAATATAGAAGTAGTTTCTGTGCCTTTTCAGTAAGGTGAAGATAAAGTCATCTCTGAGATCCAGGGAAATAGTGCTAAATTCCTCAGCCTGACCTCTATTTATTTTTGCAAAGGAAGTATGAAGTGAAAGGGTGCTTTCAAATCAAATCATTACTCTTGGTTTGATATCCAGATTTTCTTTTTGGGTCAAGTTTGATTACTTAGAGATTAATGAAAAAGAATTTTAGAAAAAATCGGTCACCTACTTCTAATATAAGGAGGAATTGAAGACAACTTTATTTCTTTTATTTATGTACAAGTTTACCTCACTTGGGTAAAAATTAAGAATGTATATTGGTTGGTAAATGTTTTAGCAGTGTTTATAAAGACTGGATTGCATATTTTATTAGCACAGATGACTTTAGTATATGAAACTAGAAAATGTGCTTCTGTAAATATTTTTATTGCTTAAAATAATTTGAGTAGATTAGCAGTAAGAGCCCACATAAAGGCTTTTCCTTTTATTAATATACCGGGGGTACCAAAAAAAATGTATACACATCGCTTATATTCATCTTTTGTTATCGGTATATATTGAGTATTACAATTTTAATACAGTTTTTTTCCTTTCTTAGAATGTGTATACATTTTTTTGGCACCTTCTGTACTTTTATATATTCCAATGCCACTTAAAGTGGTTTGTCACCTACTAGCAGTGTGACCTTGAGCAAGTTACTTTCTGAGTTTTTCAATGTTTTCAACTATAAGATTGGGTATTGCTCTTTCCCTTTCAGGGTAGTTGAAAGGCTTAATTGACATAATGTAGATAATGCCCCTGACAGGCAGGGGGACCTGACACAGAGACTGTGCTCTATATACTATTAGATCCTTTCCCCTTTCACTGCTTTGTTCCACTTATACACAGTCATTTAGATCTTGCTCATATTGTAAATAAGATTTCTTTAAGTTTTTTTTCATTATACTGGTTAAAGTTGAATCAAGAATATAAATCCCATAATGACATGTATCTTATTTGTATTGTTTACTGTAGTATCCCTAGCACCGAGCATAGGACCTGTGCTATAGGTGCTTGATAAGTATTTTTTGAATGAATGAATATTAAGCATTTAAAGTCAATTTACTTGAATAAATTTAGAGAATGCCTTTGCAGTTTTTATTTGTCAGGTACAATCAGTTGAAAATGAATTCATTCAACAAACTTTTATGAATACCTGTAATGTGCCAGGTATTATTTTGTCCTCATGGAACTTACATTTTATCTGGTGGGAGGGAAAGGGAGAGAAGGACACTAAACCAGTAAACAAATAAGTTAACAGGATAATTGTAGATAATAAGTGCAGCAGTGCTGTGAGGCCCTCTGCAGGAGTAAGGGCCGCTACTTTAGATAGGACGTGTGTGGGAGGCCTTTTTAAGGAGGCGACATCTGAACAGAGACAGTCATGATGAGAAGGGGACCAGCTTTCTTTCTTTCTTTCTTTTTTTTTTATTGGGGAACAGTGTGTTTTTCCAGGACCCATCAGCTCCAAGTCAAGTAGTTGTTTCAATCTAGTTGTGGAGGGCGCAGCTCAGTGGCCCATGTGTGGATCCTGCTGGCAACGTTGGTGTTATGAGCACTACGCTCTAACCAACTGAGCTAACCCGCTCCTCCCCAACCCCAGCTTTCTTTCTTTCTTTGTTTCTTTTTTTTTTAGCTGAGCCATTCTGCTACCTGTTGGCAGCTCAGCAGCAGCTCAGCTCGGGCCGTGAATGGAACCGGCGACCCTGTCCAGACCAGTTTTCAATAGCCAGGGAAGAACATCTTAACTAGAACAGCAAGTATGAAGGGCCTTGAAGAGGGAATGAGCTAAATGCAGTTCATTAATTTGGATTGTTAACATCCAAATGAAATTACTTCATCTAAAGAGTATGGAGCAGCTGCAAAGACAATGTAAATTCTGTTACTTGAGTGGAGAACTTTTAGGTATAGCAGTGAATCAAAGTGTAAGATTATCAATAGTCAACTCCATTGCCTAGTGCCTCAAAAGTTCTCTTATGTGTTGGTTATTTTTTAGTAAACAAGGTGTGACCATGCTCTTTGGCTATTATTGTGAGGCTTGACTACTAATCCTGGGGTTTTGAGATCAAGAGGCTAGAAATCAACAAGTTTAAAATATGTGAGGTCTACAGCCTGCCTTCTCCTCCTCTCCTACAATTGAATCGTTTTGCTTTCGAAATTTTTCTTCTCTATTTTTCTCTGTTGTAATAGTTTAACTGCCTACTCTTAAAAATGCTGAGCATTCAAAATCACATTTTTTCAGAAGGAAAAAAGGTCTTAAAGAATTTAAAGTAGGATACTTCTGCAAGAGCCTGTAATTTAGTATTGCAACATGAAAACCTAAGGAATTTTTTATTGTGATTGTTTGAACCGTGTATTTGTCACTGCCGTTGTCAAGTCTGATAAACAATCAGAATTCTGCATTTGCTGTTTTAAATAGAGAAGTCCATGCATTCTAAGAAATATAGGGAAAAGAACTGTAAAGAGTTGGGGAACCTTTTAATCTCGTCATCTCTTGGGGTGTAGAGAATTTTGCAGAGTAATTCCTGCAAACCTTGCACTTTCAGATTGATACTCTCAAAGGACAGTATACAAATAAGATCTTTTTTTTTAGGCAGGATAAAACTGTATTTGCTATGCACAGTTCTCAGCATTGAATTTTAGATATGCATTTCACAAAGGTGACCCCGGGGATTTCACTAAGGTGACTTCAGGGGGTAATATTTTAAGCTGATCTCTCTAAGTGCATATCTTTAGCAAGTCAAGGCATTAATAATTTATTCAGGATGTATAGGTAAATATTTTTGTGCTTTAATGGAAAGCCTCTTGTTTAATGGACTGGAGTACTGCCTGATGGTGATTAAATACCTAAATATATTAATTTTAGCACACTTGACCTGATTTAGGGTTTTGTCTACAGTAATGTGTTTTGTTTATAAGACCCCTCTTTCCAACTTCTCTTTAATAGCAACATCATGACAACAGAGAAGAGTTTAGTGGTTGAGGCTGAAAATTCACAGCACCAACAACAGAAGGAAGACGGTGAGGGAGCTACAAACTCAGGCCAACAAGAAACTCAGCTGGAAGAGGCCTCTCAAGCAGCAGCTGAGGGAGATAATCGATGTGAGCAGAAGCTGAAAACATCTAATGGAGACACTCCCACACATGAGGACTTGACCAAGAACAAGGAGCGGACATCAGAAAACAGGGGCCTGTCACGGCTGTTCTCCTCATTTCTGAAAAGGCCTAAATCTCAGGTCTCTGAGGACGACAGCAAAGAAGTGGAGGCAGCTAAAGAGAAAGGTGAAGAAGGTCAGAAAGACATAGAATTTGCAACTAGTCTTGATGAAGAGATAATTTTAAAAGCCCCGATTGCAGCTCCTGAACCTGAACTCAAAACAGACCCATCCTTGGATCTTCATTCGTTGAGTAGTGCAGAAACACAGGTAAGGATGTGTAAATGTGTGGGAGGTGGGTGTACTGAAGGTAGGTTAGACACTTTATTTTTCATTTAAGAATGTTAGGTTTTATTTTTTACTAGCCAGTTGACTTGGCGTTGATAGTGATAAGTAACATGAAGCTTTAGAGTTTCTGCTCTAAAGAAATTAAGGTAGTCAATGGAAACTTGATTTTTAAAAAGATACATATACTGACTGTATCAATCAAAGAAAAACAAAATGAAAGAAAAGAACTTATTAAACGAGTTTATTCAACCTATATATCATTTTGCTGTAATGAACAAGTCCATAATTTTTAATAAAAGGGAAAAAAGAATTCAGGTAGTTTAGAGTTCATTTTAGTGGAATTATTAGGAATGGGATAGTTATCAGCAGACATGATTCTTTTATGGGAATCTTCATAAAAGCCAGATGATAGATTCAAGCCCTCCAGAGGTACGAGATAGATTTGAGTCATGCCTGCCTTCTTTTTGTTGTCTTCAACTAGATCATATTACCACAGAGTGTAAGATATAGATGAGGAAGTCTAGTTTTTTTTATATCACCTTTGTAATATATAGTAATTGGGGTTCTTAATTGTGTCACAGTGTAGTTAAACTAAACAAGAGCTGAGAATTTGTTCATCTGTCCAAAAAACATGGAGAAATTTTCAAAGTTTTTTTAAAGCATGTGAGCATTATCTGTGTTGTTAAAAGTGTAAGTCCTATATATTTATATTATAGGTCTCAGGCTTGGGCTATATAGTTTTATTAGAATTTTCTGAGACTATTACATGTATTTCTAGAAATATTGTACATTAAAGGTGCTAAGAGTAAAATTTAAGATAAAGTTGTAAGTATGTACTTGCTATTAGTGAAACAAGATTGAAAACAAGATTTACTATATAGTGTAATTGTTAAGAATGCAGATGGTGGAATCAGATTAGAGGGTTCTAAGCAGAGAAGTGACACATTTGCTTTATCAGTTTCCTCTTCTGTACAATGAGGATAATAATATCTACCTCATTTTGCAATTATGAGTATTTAAAAGAGATAAACATGTAAAGCTCTTAAGACATTGCCTGGCATATACTATAAAAGAGAATAAAGCACTCAGTAAATGTTAGTTATTGTTAGTCAGTTAAAAAACATGAATAGTAAAGGGAAAGAAACCCTACATATCTTAAATCATTAATTTTATTTTAAGAATACCAAAAGAGTTAAATTATATTATCTTTCAGGAAGCCTGGTACTTTCAAGAGGTTTTTAACTGCTTTTTTTGTCCTCTGTTTTGTGTAGGGTTAAGTATCTCATTTTAGTTAGCATTTGAATCAGGGTAAGCTTATTTTGTCTAAAGATCATAGCATTTGTACTGAAGTTGAAACAGATGATGGACAAAGTTAATTCTAGATTTAACTAAAATCTCATTCATTTGAAACTCCATTAATTGAGAACTGAGATAAATTGTGTGCAGGTATTTGTCTATATATAAAGAAAAAGAAACAAAATAAATAAAATTTCATGGGGATATTGTTTAAAGGAGCAAACTCTTTTGGGCTTTTTGGAAGCTAGGATTTACAGTTAAAACCTTGTGGATCAGAACCTTGTGGATAAATGTTTATTTGCTTAACTGTATTTCTTATGTGTAGGGGAATTTTATTTTTATGGTCCTTTTCTAGCCAGGATTTTTAAAAAGTGAGCTTGTGTTTATCTAGAGTACCTTAGATTTTTTGGGAAGCCATGTGTCAGTTTTTAATATTTATTCATTACACAAATATTTATTGAAAACCTACTATGTGTTCCAGGCCCTAAGCAGTGTGTACACTGGTAAATAAAAACTACAGTATGGTGAAAGGTTTGAGATCATGAATTCTGGAGCCAGACTGGCATGTGTCTTATTAACTGTATGATCCTAGGCAAGTTACTTGAACTTCTCTGGCCTCAGTTTCTTATCTGTCAAGTGGGGATAATCATAGTACCCTCCCCAGAGGGTTATTATGAGGTTAAAATAAGTTTATATAAGTAATGCTTTTATTATAGAAAGTAATTGCCTTATTGCTATGTAAATGTTTGCTTACCTTTTATATATATATTTTTTATTTTTTTATTTTTTTAGCTGAGCCATCCTGCTACCTATTGGCAGCTTAGCAGCAGCTCAGCTCAGGCCAGGCATCGAACCACTGTTGCTCAGAGCTTGCACTCTTGAGCGAGCTCTTAACCAACTGAGCCACTCAGCCGGCTTTGCTTACCTTTTATAAAACAAACAGAACCCCTACTCTTTATAGTCTATAGTCTATAGACTAACTTTATAGTCTAATGGAGGAGACAAAAAAGTAGTAAATACAAAATAATTATTTATCATAATAAATGTTATGAAGGCAATACACAGGGTACTGATGTGAAGAATAGTAGAGTGGGGATAGGATAGATGGGATAGCCACTGAACGCCTCTCTGAAGAGGTCACAGTGAAAAAGGTCATTAAGACTGGGAAGGAGCCGGTTAGACCTCCTCCAATATCTCACGCAGGAGCCAAATAATTGAATCCTTTTTCCTAAATGTCAACCATGTGTTCTTTTGAAAGAAAAGAATTAGTGAGGTTTAGTTAAGAATCTTTCAGTAATTTTGTTGTGTAAGAAAATCTATGCCAAACTGTTGTTCCGCTTACCTGTATTACTTTGGGATGTAAATGTAAAATATGTAAAGATTCACTGTAAGATGGATAAAGATAAAAAATAGCCCCATAACAGTTCGTGCTCCAGAAGACTCAGATTTCAATCTGTCTCTTGCTCCTTTGAATCTTCTTTGTATTTATCATGAGTGATACCTGGTAGAAACAAGTTAATTGGTAGTTACAGTTGTTAGTCTACTACATATGTTGCTATATGCTCTAAAATTGGTCCCAAGAACCCTTTTTAACCATTCATAAAATTTAGAATATGTGATAAATCACATCTCATTTTGTAATTCATAAGGCTACCTTGCTCAAATTGAGGAGCATGGGGCAGAGATGTTCGTTTTTTGGGTTTTTTTTTAGCTGAGCCATCCTGACAACTGTTGGCAGCTCAGTGGCAGCTCAACTCGGGCCGTGAATCGAACCGGCGACTCTGTTGCTCAGAGCTACCTTTCTTGAGCGAGCTCTTAACCAACTGAGCCACTCAGCCGGCCCAGAGATATTCAAGTTTTGATAGGCTTTAATAATATATAATGGCATAGTCAGGAAGAACATATAATGCTGAGAACAACAGATTGGTGTCCTGTCGTTTACCTGAAACCTTCATTTATTGATTTGAAAAATGGGATTCTACCTTCTGTTATGAAGTTTTGAGAATAGCAGAGTCTGTAGATCTTTTGGGAGATCATAATATCTTTTCTAGAAAAATATTTAATCTTAATATCACTTATACAGTAAAACCTTGGGTTGCAAGTAACGTGGTTTGCGAGTGTTCTGCAAGACGAGCAAACATTTCTAATACATTTTAACTTGGTAAACAAGTGATGTCTTGCAATATGAGTAGTTTATTTCCAAAAAGAATTATGCTTGCAAACCAAGGTATTACTGTATTTGTTTTAACAGTTTTTCTTCTTCTGTTAGTGCCTTTATTGGTAGCATGATTATAGGTAGACGTGTATACAGCATGCTTTGTAAAATGTTCTTACTACTAACTTGGTGATGTTGTGGATATATAGCCTGCTCAGGAAGAACGCAGAGAAGATCCCGATTTTGAAACTAAGGAAGGAGGAGGACTTGAAGAGTGCTCTAAAATAGAAGTGAAAGAGGCAAGTCCTGAATCAAAAGGAGAAACAGAAACAAAAGCTTCCCAGAAATCAATCAGAAGACACAGAAACATGCATTGCAAGGTCTCTTTGTTGGATGACACCGTTTATGAATGTGTTGTGGAGGTGAGTGCATTTTAAGTTTCAGTAGTTATAATTCTTACAAATTATTTTAGGTAGGGTTGGGTAAATGGTGCCATGGCCTGAGATAAGGCCCAGTATAATGACCCTTTCTAAAATGTTAGGGCTAAAATGTTAATAGTGTTTTTCTGGAGGTAGAGGTGTGGAAGGATTATGAGTGAGCTTATTTTCTTCCCCAATTTTTCCTGCATCTGCTAAATGTTGTGAATTGAGCATGTGTTACTTTTATAATCCAAGCAATTTTGTTAAAAAAAAAATAGTTCGTTATTTATAGTGACATTTCATGACCAGATTTCCCAGGATAGCCTCAATTTTTGAGGTTAGATCAGCTATCCCCATAATTGTAAAAAAAAAAAAAAAATTACTCTCTGTTCATTTCTGCTCTTTTCTCTAAACCTTAATAAGTTTTAGTTTACTTACTATATTTCTTTAGCCCCATGAGTTAGGATATAAAAAATTTAAATCAAGTAATGTCATTTCTTAAAATCCTCTGTGATATTCTGAAAGAATAAGAAATTGAATCAAGATCGAATAAAAATGTCAGTTATTCTTTTGTTCCTTCAAGACAAGTTAAAATCCCTAAAAATCAATTAGTTATTTTTTAACTAGAACAGTAGTTGTCAATTATATTTGTGACATAAAGCAATTGTGATTATTAATAATAGTCTTAATAAAACATATAACTCACATAGACTTGTATCTTAGGTTTGTAACAAATTATTTTTGAATTGAATTACTTATATGCAAATGCAAATATATCAAAACACAAATAGTCTAAAATATTATACTGTATTTATTAATAAGTATTCCCTCTCCAAGTTTTAAAAAGATAAATCAAGAAAAATATACTATTGCACTTTGATAGTAGCTACTATACCTGGTAGAGGAGACCTAGTGTCTGCCATTTCTGCTTCTCACCACTCGCTAGTTTAGAGATGAGGAAAACTATTCCACATTCATTCTTTCCATTCAGTCCGTGATCCAGGTATGGGTCCCTTATATCTGAAACATTTAGTGGCAGATATGTTTCAGAATTCAGAATATTTTGGATTTTAGAAAAGCAATAAGAACATATTCTGTATGTTTCACTATGTACCTGGTAAGATGTGTAGTAGTCAAAATATATTATTTGGTCAAACACATTATTTCTGTGGTAAAACATACTAAGACTCATTCTGAGATGGATAAATAAAGATTAAAAAATGGCCTCATAATATTTCAGGTCAGAATTTGACAAAAACAACCACCATCCAACCTTTTACTTTGTAGAGCATCTGGATTTGGGAATTATAAATAAAGGAGTAGGGACTGGTACATGAAGAATCCCCAAATCATCTCTGTCTTTTAGCATGAAAACATAGGTGAGAAAAATGAAGAAAATGATGTAATATAAATGGGTTTAGTCTGAAAGCAAATTAACATCTATGTGAATTACTAATAGTCCTTAAAAATAATTTAGCTCATTGAGAGAAGGACATGTCATGTATGTGTTCCAAAAAATTTCTAATTTTTTTTTTAAGCTTTAAAAAATATGTTTCTCAGAAGGCATTAATTAGCATCTTTGATTTTTTTTTTTCCTCCAATGATTCCAGTCAATAGGTAGGATAGGTCTAAATATTATTATTTCACAGATGAGGAAGCTAATGTTTAAAACTATTAATTGAATTGACTCAGGAGGTTTAGCTAGTATAGGAGGAGTCAGGACTTTTTACTCTAAATCTAGCCTCTAAGTTAGGCTATTTTCTCCCTATAAACAGAAATACAAATACTCAAATTTGGCGGTGGTTTGATTTTCTAGGTAAAAAAACATGAAGAAAATGATTCATAGCACAACTGAAAGTGTTAGTTACCAAGGATAAAAGAGGAAATTGGAAAATGACATTTTATTTTATTTGGTGATGAATACAGGAATAAGAGGAAACTTCAACTAAAGTATGTATATCTTTGCAGAAACATGCTAAGGGACAAGATTTGCTTAAGCGAGTGTGTGAACACCTCAATCTTTTGGAGGAAGACTACTTTGGTCTAGCCATTTGGGATAATGGAACTTCCAAGGTGAGGAGATTGCTTGTAATGTAAGAAGCTGACAAAAAACTGGTTTTAATTCTTATGTTGTTAGGAATGTATTTATGTCTGTCTCTCTAAGTCACAATATACTTAGAGTTATTCTTGCTCATTCTTAGATCTCAGATTTTCCCTCTCAAATGAACATTTTAAAGAAAAGATCACTGCTGGTGTGTTCTTTCATCACTGAGAGAACATAGCCACTGTATATTTTTATTATTTTTATTTTTTTAAAAAGATTTTATTGGGGAATTGGGGGAGGGAACAGTGTTGGGGAATCGGGGAAGGGGAACAGACAAGTTGCTTTTCTTTAGTTCTTCAGTCTAGTTGTGGAGGATGTCGCTTCACTGGCCCATGTTGGTATTGTGATCATTGCGCTCTTCCCTGCTGAGGCAGATCGGTCGCCGGCCATTGGACGGTCACTCGTGGCTGCTCTTGGCAGCTCACGCCGGCTGCCAGCCACTCACGCAGCTTATGGCAGCCCACTGCAGCCCCACTGCAGCCTATGCCGTCGCCGGCAACTCATGGCAGCCCAGCTCCAGGTCGAGCTGTTGTTCACCATCTTAGCTGCAGAGGGCGCAGCATCACTGTCCCTCATGTGGGATCCTAACCAGGGCCCTGCTGCTCAGAGCTGGCGTTCCAAGCCAACTATTAACCAACGAGTCACTTGGCACGCCCGCCACTGTATATTTTTAAAAGACAGGGCAAGTACAGAGCTATGATGTCCTGATTAGCAAGTAGATACCAATAACTTTATGTATTATGCAGTTAGTATTGTGTCTAATATGTAGGAAGTTCATATAAATATTTGTTGAATGGGTGGTTCTAGCAATATTATAATTATAGGATAATTATGATATTACTTACATTATAATTTGAGAGTAACATTATAAAAGAGAATAAAGTACCAGTATTATCGAATCAGTCATACAGTGACTCTAACATTTTCTCTAGCCTAAAAGGAAACCAGTAGTTAAATTTGAAGGAAGTAAAATAAAGGGTGAGAACATGGAGAAGGGAGGAAAGGTTACAAGTCAGGTATTTACTTCAAAACTTGAATTATTTCCTGGGCCAATTAACTGAAAATTACAAATATTTAGCTGAAAATCAAATGATGAAAACTTGAGTCCAGTTTAACAACTATTTGCAGGTGCTATAGTAGATGATATGGATACAGGCGTGGCCCTGCCCTCTGGAGCTTACAGTTTAGTGTGATAAGTGTCATACAAAAGGAAGTACAAGATGTCATGGAGAGAATGGCCAAGGAAGTCTTTTCTGGGAAGGCGATGCCTAAGGTGAGACCTGGAGGATAAAATGGGCAAGTGAAGTAGAGAGAGAATGGCCTGGAGTTGAGAGAGTGGCATTGGAGGAACTAAGAGACATCTAGCCTGGCAAAATAAATGTAGGGAGTGAGGAACAGAGTAATAGATGAACTTCAGGAGCTACACGGGTCCAGGTCATGGAGAGAGTCTTGAATATAATGTATTCAAGCCATTTTAGTTGGTTCTTTTTCCTAGGCGGTTTATATTTATTAAGAGAAGTTGACAGTCTGGGGAATATAATCAATAATGTAGATATTTCTTGGAGGGCCAGATGGACTCATGTCTGTGGGGGAGACCACTTCATGGTCGGTGTGGAGGCCTGGCCACTGCACTGTATTTCTGAAGCTGATGTTGAATAATAATGTATGTCAACTATAATTATATATACATATAGTCACAGGTCATGGAGTAGAGAGTAGGAATGGAGTCAATGGAATTGTAATAGACAAGCATGATATCCCCCCGATATCATGCAGTAGAGATGGGGGGGTTGTTACTTTGGGAGGGTGAAAAGGATAACTATTGCATTGTTCTGTACACCTGAAACTAACAATGAAAATTAAAAAAAAAAGAGAAGTTGAGGGTCAGCTGCCTTTAATAACTGCAGATTCTGTAAATTGGGTTATTTGAGTTAGATAATGCAAACTAGAGGACATGGAATTACCCTTTGCCTAAATAAAATCTATTTGTAGAATATAGTACTAGTAGTTACCTAGTGGTTTGCAACAGTTTGTTCCATCTGTGAAGGACATGATTCAAACAGAAGAACTGTGGCTACCTGCACTAAGTTAATATTGTTCTTTAAGAACTTAATTTTTACTTTGTCTCCTTAAAGGCACAAACCAACTTGTACTGAAGCCTCTAATTTCCATTAGTAAGGAAAGATTGAGGGTAATTAAAAAATAAAACAATACCCCTAAAACTACAGTAAAAAGCTTGTTCAGCTGTGAGCTAGAAAATTCTCCCATGAAACAAAGAAAATACTCTGAAAAGTATTTTATGTTATTATAAGCTCAGTGAGATAAAACTGAATGTTTTTATATTGGTGGTGGGGAAACCCAAGGTTGATGTGAGAATTACTGAGAGTGTTTGAATTTGGCATATAAATAAAGTCACTGAATATGTACTTGTTTGATATAACTGGAAATGATTTTTCTATGAGTCAAGCACACTTAAATTTCTAGAAACTGGCTCATCTAAAGACATGCAGCAAGGGAAATTCTTTCCACTTGCAATTGAGCTTTTAGGGCCCACATAGGTACAAAAACTTTCATTTGCATTGAAAACTTTTTATCTTGGTTGATGCCATCTGTGCTCTGACCTGTCAGCAATGTTATTTGCTTTTTAGTACTTCTCACTATCTTATTTATTTTTTAATAAGCAATATTAAATTGCTTTATTTGTATTCATTTATATATTAATGTATAAGGTGATCTTCAAAGTACCTAATAAAAAGCTGAATAGCAGTAAAACCTGGCTGTGTAAAAAAGGGCCTTATTATCCCTCCTCAGTAAGATGTTTCTGGAAAAGAAAAGTTGATATCTTTAAACTGTAATCTAGCTTTAACTTCCTTGGTTTGTAAGAGCCCCTTTTGGGGAAGTGAGTGGGCCAGTGAACCCTGGGAAACACAGGGCCTGTATTCAGGACATCTGGCAGGTCTGTAGTATAGGCCTGGTTCTTACAGGATATCCAGCAGGAATATGGTCAAGGGCAGTGGGCTGTTCTGTGTTTTCTGCTTCTAAATTCATCATGGCTAACTTTCAGCTCTCAGAAATAGGTCAAAACAGAATTTTTTCTTTGGGTTAAAATGAAGGTCTTTAGCTGATCCAGGAAGTAGGGACAGGAACAATGTCATTAGCACATGGCCCAAGCAAATCTTTTTTTTTTTTTTT